CATTGCTTAAAGATAGCAGCTATAAAAATCAGGTTTTTTGTCTTCTGTTTTATTGGGTGTTCCATGTGCTATTGAAAGTTCCATTATCTTTTTTCCATGGGCTTTTTTGCTAAAATCCCCAATAAATTTTGTCGATATGCTCTGCCTCTTTCTATAATATGAAATTTTATTTTAAAAAGGACATGTTAGTTATTTATTTATTTTCTTTGAAGCATTTTCTTTCCATTGTTTTATTCGTTTTCTTGTTTTGTAATTTGTTGCAGTAGCTGTGTTCCTTTGTAACTTAACTGAGTTTTGTGGATACAGAAGGTTTTCAATGTTTATTTATGTTTGTTTTTATTTTAATTTTTACTAGCATTGTGCAATTTCATAGCCACTGAAACTAAAATGAATATGGGGTTGTTCGGTGAATGATGAGTTTTGTATTTCTTTTTCTTTCCTTGTAAATGGTGGCTTGTTTTATGCTTTTGTTATCTGCACTTCCCTTTAACCATGATTTTTGTTTAATAATTTATTGTAAAACATAATGAAATCCATCTTAATTATTATTTAGATAAACCATAATTTGGTTTTCGTGCAGTAGATTTTGTTGCGTGGTCGGTTTCTTGGTAGTTTGGCTGCCGTACTGTTAGAAAATTCATTTTTGTTCGTGTCAGTAGCTATGAAATTGGTTTTTGAGGATATTCTTTGTGTGAAACCAAAGAAGAATCAGTACTACAATCTACAGACACTTCCATGTTTTTCTTTGGGTGTTGATGCATTTTCATGAAATCCATTTATTTCCTTATTTTGTTCATTATTTAGTCATGAAAAGTTGAAAACAGTAGTCATATAGACAAACTGATTTCTGAATGATTTTAGGGTTATTCACATGGTTCACAGGGTTTGGTAAGAGATGCTTTGCAAGGACAACCAAATCAAAGTGCAATTTGCTCAGGTGAAAGAGTGGCCATTAAGGGGCCAGGGGAACCAGAGCCGCCTCAGGTTGGTTATTTATGTCCTTCTTTCTTTTGCTGTGTGTTATTTTCATTAGTGAAGTTTGTTTTTCTTATTTCATTTGGTGTGTTTTGATTCTTTATGTTTATTAGTATCTAATATTTACAATTTTGCTCTAGGTTGATCCCCTTTTATATTAGTATTTGGTGTTGTCTTTTTGGCAAATACATAGCTTCATTTTAATTGACTTAAGCTAGGTATGATGAAGCTAAGGATTTGCTCTCTCTTGTGATAACTCATAAAACTACATGATTTGCAGAATCCAGCATATGTAGTTGATGGGGTTGGTTCAAATGAACCCATGGACTCTGATTTAAGCATGATTCATCATTTGAATGACGATATCTGTGCTTTAAGTGAGAGGGTGACAACTCAGAAGTCTTCTATTAGGAAGGAGAGGCATGAAGTGGATTTGGAGACAACATGGGAGACAAGGAAATCAAAGAGGAAAGTGGCCTTCTCTGCATCACCAGAATGGGCTGCAATGAATGATGACTCCTTTGCGTCCACGGTAGAGGTTGATAAAATGGTCGATGAGGCCTTGGATGTTATGGCAATGAGGGTTATAGAGAGGGCTTCAAAGTGGGCCTCGCAGAAGAATGCAGCCTTATATGAAGCTCAAGACCAAATTGCATTCTTGCGCCGAAGTTTGGAGGAGGTGCACCCTCAAAAAGAGGAGGAGCATGCAAATGCATCAAGGGCACAAGCTGAGGTCAAGGAGCTATGCCTGAGGGCACAAGCCGACGCTAAGTCAACACAAGCAGAGGTGTTGAAGGCACATGCTGAGGCTAAGGATGCACACTTTCAGAAAGAAGCAGCACAAGCTGAGGTGTTGGCTATGAAAGTTCGAGATAGGAGAAGTCAGATAGCAAGTGAGTTTCCTGACTATTCTTTTTATCATTCAAAAAGTATAGTATGATCCATATGGTCATCTTAAGACATGGTCATAGCCTCATAGGAGCCATCACCGCCACATGAACAGGTTGGAAGTTGAATGAAAGATATTGAGTTCCACAAAACTTCCCATTATTCATTTGTATGATCTAATCTCCATCCATCACCATTCAACCATTGGTTGGATGCTGATGACTCTTATGAATGTCGCCTTACCATGATCATATGGATCATACCATATTATGACTTTTTAATTATTAGGGAGTAGCCCAAAAAATTGAGTTCCATCAAACTTCCCATTATTCATTTGTATGGTCTAATCTCCATCCATCACCATTCAACCATTGGTTGGATGCTGATGACTTTTATGAATGTAGCGTTACTATGATCATATGGATGATACCATACTATAACTTTTTAATTATCAGGGAGTAGCATAAATAATTCATTTGTATGATCTAATCTCCATCCATCACTATTCAACCATTGGTTGGATGTTGAAGACTCTTATGCATGTAGCGTTACCATGATCATATGGATCTTATTATACTATGAATTTTTAATTTTTAGGGAGTGGTAGCACCGAAAAATGTGCCGCATTAACTTAAAATGTTTAACAAATCATGATTCCAAATGAACAACCAGAGGGCAAGCACATTCGGGGTCAAATTCGTCCATGTGTTTCATATCATAGAAACACAAGTTTTACATATATTATTCGGAATGGAAGAGTTCCAGAGGCATAAACTTCTGTTACAATTTACATCAGCGTAAGAGCTAAGCTGAATACCCTTGATTCGAACCTTCAAGCCTATACATACGATTTTAAGAAAGAAAATATACATACATTATTATACGTCATTTTTTATGTACTTGTATTCCCGAGGCAAATAAAGAGAGCCCGTAGAACGTGGTTCTGCTGGTACCCAAGACACCGCTAGATTACGGGAACACTGCAGCAATAAGTCTAAAATTGAGCGACCTCTAAAAAAGCGTCAGAATGGTTTCAAATTGCATGAGTGGGTAGTTTGGGATACTATAAGGACACCTATAACGTTTTGTCGTGTTCTGATAAGTTTTGATACAATCAAGCTTGCAAATCAAGTTTCTATCATACTAAAAATTGACCTTACAACTACAAACCCTATCTTTTGGGTCTTATAATAGTACTAGACTACCGTCATTGGATCCAAAACGTCGAAAACCCCCATGTACCAAATTTCGGTTCAATTGGATCTTTCAAGACCATTCGAGGGTTAAGTTACCCTAAAAAGGTAGGTTCTATATTATTGCGGTGTAGTTTCAGCGAACCAATTTTTATTTACAAAAAGTGTATTTTCTCATTCATGATGATTTTCAATTGCTCATGACTTGCTAGTTTTGAGTCTAATTAAGTCCAAATTCGAACACGGGTTAGATCTTGACGACTCAATCGTTGTGACATGTGGCACGTGTCATGGCGTGGCCCGAAATGAGAGAATTTCTAAAGAGGAGAAGATGAGCTCGAAATATGAAAATTCCGATTTTATAAAAGAACCTCTTAATTCTTTGAGAGGCCATGGCTCAAGATCCCGGTGTCGGATTGTTGTAAGTATGGGTCGGTTGTGACCGTGCGTTGAAGAGCTACGGTTTGGTATAATTTTTATGTATGATCGGAGGCCGGATGATATGAATTTTGAGGTCGAAAATGATATATTTTTCGATCGTCAGAATCCCATTTTTCGGTGACTTTTCAAAATTGGAACATGATCAAACAAAGATCAAATTGGACGAAATTTATTGCAAAACGATCGTGATAATATCCTCTTCAATTTGTGATAAAAAATGAAGGCTTGGAACTTCATAAGTCGTATCGGAGTGGTGGTCGAAAAATCACAAGTTTACGGAACTTGATATGATTTTGGGTTTTTTTTAAAAAAATCCGTTTCAAGACGCCCAAAGGGTATCAAAACGTACGTAAAAGTTCAAGCATCGATTCTACGACGATTGATCGCCCAAATTACCATCGTAAGCGTTTAAAAAAGCTTTCGAGGCCTAGCAAATGGCAAGAGGTCCTCATGGATGGATGATTTTATCATTTGTTGAAATGTGCCTAGGGGCGTTCTGTATTTTATGGTAAGTTTATGATTTAATTTCTATTAGTGTCATTTATAATTTGTCTATAAAAGACAAGTTTTTATATTCATATCAATTAATAGTCATAAGAGTCTCTTCAGAGAAACTTAAGCCTTTACACATAGTATAGAGCTTTGGTCATTTGGTTAAAAAATGGGATTAATATTTTAATTCGTAAAATGTTTTTGTAGTTTTTGTGCTTTCTACCTTTGTTTGGTGGTTCCTCTATACAAGGAACTCAACCTTTGTTTGGTGGTTCCTCTATACAAGGAACTCAAGTTACTTGTAAACTTAAGTTTTGAAGCATAATAAAAAATTGGGGTTTTCCCCCTTAATGCCTAGTTGCTTGGAGCTTTTAACTTCAAGAGAGGAGAGATAAAATTTTACCAATTTGGGTAATTGCCCTTGGACTTCCAACTCCTAATTTCTAAACTTCTCACTTCTAACTCTCAACATCCAAACCTCCTATTTCCAATTCCCGACTTCCAAACTTCTCACTTTCAACTTCTAAACCTTCTACTTCCAATTCCCAACTTCCAAACCCCTTGCTTCCAACTCCCAATTCCTTGAAACCTCACTCTCCCTACTACTTAGAACCTTAAACTTCCTACTCCCTAGCCTTTCCAACTTCATACTTCGTACACCATGCACCTCACCTTAGTTCACCATACACTATTTGATAAACTACCCTAACCTACTTAGGTCTATTCATCTTGGACTTAGACCCCAACCCTAACTCCAAAGGCCAAGACATCTTTTTTAGGAGCGCTCAAAAGAGATCTTCAAAGGTGCGCACAAACCCAAGCCTGCATAGGTCCTCTCTCTCTCTCACCACTGTTTCTTTCTTCTCTCTCTTCTAATTCTCTCATCTCTTATAAATCTATTTCTCTCATGCTCTATCTTTCTAAACTTGGACAGCTTTCGTGAGGTTTTTTAGAAGTGATTTCGCGATAGTATAGAACTGCAGACTTCACTCTCTAGCTTCGGAGGTGATTTCTTGATAGTCTAGAACTATGGACCTCACTATCTAGAATCCTATGTAGTGCTCTTGAATTTGGTCTCGAAGTCCAAGGACCTTTCCAACGTTCCCGGTTATCTCTTTAGAGAAGGGACATCGAAAAGATGTCTGAGTTTTGAGAAGCATTCTCTTTCTTATATTCTCATAGCATCTCTTATTTCTCTGTTCATCCAACTCCCAACTTCCAAGCCCCACACTTACAACTCCCAACTCGCAACTCCTTAGAACTTCAAACTCCCTACTACTTAGAACCTTAAACTTCCTAGTCTCGAGCCTTCCCAACTTCCTACTCCTTACATCATACATCTCACCTTAGATCACCATATACCCTATCTCATACGCTACCCTAACCCACTTAAGGTCTATTCATCTTAGACCTAGACCCCAACCTTGACCCCAAAGGCCAAGACATCTTTCTAAGGAGCGCTAAAAAGGGATCCTCAAAGGTGCGCACAAACCCAAGCTTGCTTAAGTCCTCTCTCTCTTCTATTTATCTCTTCTCTTATAAATCTACTTCTCTCGTACTCTATCTTTCTAAACTTGGACAGCTCTCGCGAGGCTCTTCGAAAGTGATTTCGCAATGGTCTAGAACTGCAGAATTCACTCTCCAGCTTTGGAGGTGATTTCTCGACAGTCTAGAACTATAAACCGCACTATCTAGAATCCTTCAGAGTGCTCTTGACTTTGGTCTCGAAGTCTAGGGACCTTTTCAACGTTCCCGGTTACCTCTTTGTAGAGAGCATGGAGTTTTGAGAGGTCGTCTCTTTCTTATATTATCATTTCTTTCTCATAGCATCTCTTATTTATCAGTTCATCCAACTCCCAACTTCCAAACCCCCCATCAAACTCCCAACTCCGTAGAACCTCAAACTCCTTACTACCTTGAACCTTAAATGTTTTACTCCCTAGCTTTCCCAACTTCCTACTCCCTACACCATACACCTCACTTTAGATCACCATACACCCTATCTCATACACCACCCTAACCCACCTAGGTCTATTCATCTTAGACTTAGACCCTAATCTTAACCCCAAAAAGGTTAAGACATATTTCTGAGGAGCACTCAAAAGGGATCCTCATAGATGCGTACAAACCCAAGCCATCTTAGGTCCTCTTTCTCTTCTTTCTCTTTCTTTTCTCTCTCTTCTCTCTTTCTTCTATTTTTCTCATCTCTTATAAATCTACTTCTCTCATACTCTATCTATCTTTCTAAACTTGGACAGCTCTCACGAGGCTCTTCGGAAGTGATTTTGCGATAGTCTAGAACTGCAGACTTCACTCTCCAGCTCCGGAGGTAATTTCTCGATAGTTCAGAACTACGGACCGCACTATTTAGAATCCTCCGGAGTGCTCTCGACTTTGTTCTCGAAGTTTAGGGACCTTTCCGACGTTCCCGGTTACATTCTTAGAGAGGAGATGTCGGAAAGATATCTGAGTTTTGAGAGGCATTCTCTTTCTTATATTCTCATTCCATTCTCGCTGCAGTCGGTTTCTCAGTTCCTCCTCCATCAACACCAAATGCGAAAGCACTCTTTATAGGGCGCATGCTACGATTAGGTCTCCAAGGGATAAAGGAGTGTACTCTTTTGAACCTCAGGCTTAGAGGTAGAAGCTGTCCAGGCTTGTGCAGCGGGTTTAAAGGTTGTGTACTATGACAAGGAAACCTTTATAAAACCCCCAACTCGCCCTCATTTTTCTTCCTTCCTTCAATTAGAACCATAGTGGCCTTTTTTAAATTTTGGTGGGGTTGTCCTTTCCTTGCCATTTCTCTCTCTCTCTCTCTCTCTCTTCTGGAGTTCCAAAAGTCGTCAGAGTCTTGGCTCCGGATTTGTTAGCCCCACCCAAAGTCAAGCTTAGGGACCATCATTTTGTTCGCTTTGCATCGATGGCGAACGAGGAGGGGTCGGAAAATCCTTGGGTGTTTGAAGGGCGTCATATAGGAGCTAGTTTGAAAACGAATAAGGTATGTTGGAAACCTTATCTTCATTTGATGCGAGCTTGCGAATTATCCTATTTTTCTCCTTTTATTTCGAAAGTTCTTGTGGATACGAGGATCTTGGGCATTGTGATTCTTTTGGGATTGAAATCCCCAAATGTAATGAGCGATTTTTTGGGTTTTGGAAATTTGGGTTTGCCAGATTTGCGATTTTCGGCTGCGTCAAAAGTGGCCAGAGGTTGCCGGAAATGGCAACCCTGATGTTCCCATTGTTAGTGTTGAGAGTTCCGCCCAACTTGGTGGGTTACCGGCTACCATTCAGCCGGTACCCGCCTACTCATAATTTCCCAATGTTGGACCGTCATCGCCAATGGGAATGGCGTTGGCAGGGTTTCGACTGGCGCTCAAGGCTGCGGCTCATAGGGTTCCTCAGACGAGTTAGCCCATTTTGTACGTTCTCTGTTGATGAGCCACAGTCATCCATGAGAATGCCGCCAGCGGCCCTGCGAGTGGCGTCAAGGGTCTTAGTGCTATTTCTGAATAGCGGTGACGTTTCAGGGGTATAAATTTCTTGAGTTACATTTTTCCCTCGACCCCAAGAACGATCTTGGTCTTGGTTTCTCTATTTGGGTTTTGGATGACCCTTGGATCAGGACTGTCCCGATTTGAGGCATATTAAAGTGGGCTTGGGTTTCTTTATTTGGGCTTTCTTCCTACCCCTGAATTCGGGTTGGATTGGCTTAATGAGTATTAATTGAGTTTTGACCCTTGTTTTGATTTTCATTTTCCCCATTGCTTCAGCCTACCCCTCTCTCTTCTACTAGTCATCTGTGTGGAGTCCATCGGTGGGCTAGGGTTCTGCCTCATAGGTTGATTAGGGAGGTCATGGATATAGGGCTATGGCAGGTTTGTCGGATCGATGCCTTCCCCTTAGATATGGCGCTTATCAGTGCCTTAGTCCATAGGTTCCACCCTGAGACCGGGACCTTCCCCTTTCCTTGTGGGGAGACTGGCATCACTTTAGAGGAAGTGACTCGGATTTTAGGGGTCGATGGAGAGCCCCTTCTTTGTGACCCACCTCCAGATGATTGTTCCGTCTGGGGGGGAGGTTCGGGAGTTATTGGGCAAGGCCCTTCCTAGAGAGCAAAGGCAAGGAGGCGAGGTTGGTTCTTACCGGTGTGCAGGCTGAGCACGATGATCTCCGGTCGAGATTGAGTCAGTTGCAGGGGCAGTATATTCAGTTATAGGGGCAGAATTAGGAGGTGGTTTAGAGTCGATCCCAGGCGGAGCGTGAGGGACTCCCTTCGTCGGGATCTTCCTGATCGTGGCATCTCTTTCATTGGCTTGTATGTTCCCACGTGCAGCATCTCTGGGTATTCTCCCAGTTCCGCAGACTTCTCAGGGGCCTTCGACTAGCGAGTTTGAGCGGTTGCGTTCTCGGGTCATTCTTTATTGGTCCGAGTGCCAGAGGCTCCGAGCTGAGAGGGTATGTATTTTCATGTCTTTTTTCTTTCTTTTTTTTTCTTTCTTTCCCACTTCTTTTTATTTTGCCCCCTTACTCTCCTTGGCCAGGACCATGCCTTACATGAGCATGCGAGCAGTGCAGCCGTCGTGATTGCCTTGGAGACAGCGTTGGCTATCGGAGGGTCCGACCCCTCTCCGATCATAGATCGTGCCTTAGCCCGATGCCCTCGTCCTCCTCCTTTGGAGCGCACGCAGAGCCTAGCCATATCTGGTTGTTCTTTACGAGTAGGAGCAGGAGGGTCTCGTAAGGTGGAGAGTACATCACGACCAAGAGCAGATGACCAGGAGGCTGCCTCATCTCATCGGTCTTCCAGGGGTCGTTCATCCCATAGCCCTGGGTTTTGATTTTGATAGATAGTTCCTCATTGGGCTTTACATTCCTCTTGTGATCGACCTGTTGGATTCGTATTTTCCTTTAGTCACCGCATTTCGCATTGTCGTTTGCATGGATGATTTTTGGTTTTGTGCTAATCATATGGTATGTCCGTTGATTGCACGTATACACGCCCAGCCTGGTCGGCCTGGCTCGGCCCGGCCCGGCCTTAAGAGCACCACGGCCGTTGGGCCTCTCTCTGGTCAGGTCTGGACCTAGGCCAAGGACAGGGCCTATTTGGCTGGGTCGGCCTAGGAATTTGAGCAATCATTAAATTCCAGCTCTCACATGTCTCTACCTTTAAGGAGAGAAATGCTAAAGGTTCATCTATGTATGCGCTCGCGTGACAATAGTATATGATTGCTCCCTCGCGTGACAATTGTGTAAGAATTTCGTGATCTTAAAAGTTCTTATGGTTTTTGCCCGAGGGAGTAAATGGGTAGTTTGCTCCCGCGGGAGCACAAAATAATGAGTAATACTAGTACGATTTCATTGTGAAGCAACTGATTGGTGATTAGTTTTAAGGACCCGGTTAGCGTGTGGCGCCGCATGCATATTGTAGAAATGCGGGCTTGACAATTATATTTTTAATATAATTTGATCCTAATTTTTAGAGTTAACATGGAGATCATGAAAAATAAATAAAATTTGAAAACTATAAATAATAATTATATTAAGAAAATGCGGGCTTGACAATAAATATATTTTTTAAATATAATTTGATCATAATTTTTAGAGTTAAACATGGAGATTATGAAAAATAAATAAAATACGAAAACTAGAAATAATAATTATATTAAGAAAATATTTAGACCTTTAGTTCCAAGTGTTTATCTATTTTGGATGCTTTATACTTTTGGACCGCATTTCTACAATGAAACAATTGTTCTTAAAAGGAAATTTCAAAAGTTTTTGGTTTATATCTTTTAAAATTTTGAGTTAATCTCAGGCTTCATAATTTTTTATTTTGATTCTTAAGCCCACTGGTGTTGTATAAATCTACTATATCTATTATATGTAAAACACCACTTAGGTTTCTCATCTTTTGGTTATATTAATAAGGAAAAATCAGGTTCGGTTATTTATTAAGATCCCCAAAGATAAAAAAAAGTGAGAGAGTACAATAGTGTGATATGGCTTTGAATGATGTAATATGTGTATCATATTGTACTTGTATATTTAAAATGATAGTATAATATTGCGTATTATAAGAAAAAGACAATTTAATTTGGGTGCGGTTTTTATGGAGTCGAGACTATAAAGTGTACTTTCAAAAAAAGTGTTGAGAAATGTAGTTTCAATATTGGAAATCTATGGGATAGCTTTAAAATACATTTTAATTATAATATTTAAAGCTTTAAAAATAGTGTAGATCGAGTCGATCTATAAAAACTTAAATATCTTGAAAACTTAAATATCTTGAAAATAGTCGGTTCAAAACTGTATTACAAGGTGCGTTATTTCGAAAATTTGAAATCTAATTTTTTATTTTTTTATTTTTATGTTCATGCATCTTGATGTTCGATGATCAATTTGGGGATATTTGGGTATCAAAATAACCTATTTTAGTGAAATTTTTGAGATGGGTTTTAGTTTGATTGTTTATAGCCTCAACTCTATATAAATTTTTCCCATTTAAATTTTATGCCTTGTTTATATGGTGGATCATTAATCTCTCTATCAATAAAATATAATTAGGATCTGTTTGGATAAGAGGAAATTAGGAATCTTAGATATTTGAAATCTTAAAGAAAATTATGGATTTTCAATATCGAGGATTTTTGTTGATTCTTCAAATCTCTTGTTTCGATAAACTATACAAAATTCGTGGATTCTTTGCAATCACTTCCATGTTCATTGTTTGGTAATAAAACTTGATATAGTTTCTCTCTCTAAAAATTTTATATGCTTTCTCTCTCTAAAACTCAAAATTTGGGATAGTGTATCTATAAAATTTTTGAGATAGTTTTTCTATCTAAAAATTGATATGGTTTCTCTCTAAAATTTGATATATTTTTTATATAAAATTAAAAATCTGAAATTGTCCATCTAAAAATTTTGAGATAATTTATCTGTCTAAAATTTTTAGGTGCTTTACTCCTTTTAAAATTGAATAGAGTTTCTCTTTTTAAAATTTTAATATACTCTCTCTAAAACTTAAAACTTGAGATAGTTTCCCTATTCAATAATTTTGAGATAGTTTCTCTCTCTAAACATTTTTAAGTAGTTTCACTCTCTAAAATATGATATAATTGTTCTCTTAAATTTAAATATGATATAATTGTTTTCTCAAATTTTAAGATACTTTCTCTTTTTAAAAGCTAAAATTTGAGATAAATTCTCTTTAAAATTTATGAGAGTTTCTTTTTTTTAAAGAATTTTATGTACTATCGCTTTTTAAAATTTGATACATTTATTTTTTTAAATTTTAAGATATTTTCTCTCTCTAAAATTTCAAGTTTGAGATAGTTTCTCTCATTAAAATTTTGAAATAGCTTCTCTCTTTAAAATTTTATATAGTCTCTCTCTAAAAATGGCTATACTTTTTCACTCTAAAGTTTAAAAATTGAGATACTTATTTTCTCTAAAACTTAAATTTTGAGATAGTTTATCTTTAAATTTTTTTGTGATAGTATCTCTCTCCAAAAATTTTGAGATAGCTTATATCTTTAAATTTTTTTTGTTAATTTCTCTCTAAAATTTGATATAATTTTTATCTTTAAATTTTTAATATATTTTCTTTCTCTAAAATTATAAATTCGAGATAGTTTCTCTCTAAAATTCAAAATCAAAATTCGACAGTTTTTTCTCTAAAAAAAGAAGACATTTATCTCTCTAAATTTTGTTTGGCAGTTTTTCTTTCTAGAATTTATAATAATTTCTCTTTAAAACTATAAGAATACTCTTTCTCTCTACAATTTTAAAAGTGCTTCTCTCTAAAATTTAAGATTTGTAGTTTCTCTTTTTAAAACTTAAAATATGAGATTGTTTCTCTCTAAAAGTTTTCAAATAGTTTCTTCCTCTAAAAAATTGAGATAGTTTTTCTATCTAAAAATTTGCATCAACGTTCTCTCTCTAAAATATGATAGTTTTTTTAAAAAAATTTAAAATTTGATATAGTTTCTCTCTCTAAAAACTTGAGAGTTTCTGTTGTTTAAAAAAATTTGGTACTCTCTAAAATATGAACGTACTTTCTCTATCTAAAATGTTAATATACTTTCTCTATCTAAAAGTTCAAATTTGAGATAGTTTCTCTATCTAAAATTTTGAGGTAGTTCATCTCTCTAAAAAAATTGATACTTTCTTTCTCTAAAATTTTAACATATTTTCTCTTTCTAAAATTGTAACATACTTTCTCTCTAATATTTTAATTTTGAGATAGTTTCTCTCTTTAAAATTTTGAAGATAGTTTTTCTCTCTAAAATTTTGAAATAGTTCATCTCTCTTTAAAAAAATTGGTGCTTTCTCTCTCTAAAATTTAACATAATTTCTCTCTCAAAGTTAAAATTTGAGATAGCTTCTCTCTCTCAAATGTTTAGATAGTTTCTCTCTTTAAAACATTTATTAAAAAATTTAAGTATTTTCTTGTTAAAATTTTTATACCTACCAAATGCTCCTTATGTTTCAGGAGGGAGTCAATGAGTGAAATCCATGGGTCTTGGAAATGCAAAACAACATGTTTTGGTGTGGAAATGAAATCATGGAAAAATATGACTTTTTTTTATGATTTTGATTTTCCGATTTTAAGTATCCTAGTCATTAAGCAATCTAAGTAGTAGATTTTGGCAAAATCCAAGATATTCGGAGTCTATGCCTTAAAATTCATGTACCCAAACAGGGCCTTAGGTTCGTATCCTTGGGAGTTATCATATGGTTTGATCCCATGAGAGCGCATGTATGGGACGCTTGCCAAAAAATCGTTTATATCTCTTAAGGGTAGTTATTGTGGGATGGGGTTTCTATGTCAGCGGACTCATATGTATACATGCGTGCTTTTTCTAAATTTCATCTTCAAGATAGATTTGTGGTCCAATTCTTAGGGCTTTATGATCTAGGTCAAGGTAATCACGAATATAAATATGAAATTTAAAATTTAAAACTGTACTTTGTTAATGGAGGGTTCTTTTACAGTATTTTGCTGAGGGCACTTTACACAACGTCCGTTTTAGGACGTTCGTGGGTCAAGGGGCTTTTATGTCCGCTTGCTCATGTAAAACTGTTTGGCTTATGTAAAACTCTTTTTTCAGGGGGTGTTTGGGAACTGGGAAATATATGAAAATAGATTACACGGAAATATCACATTTAGATTGTTGGGGTAAATTTTAATGGTAATAGAATGAAAACAAGATGATTCGAGATTTTTCAAAAATCAAAAAATCTATTACGTACGGTGAAGAGTGAAAAATCTATTACGTGTTTGACGGGTAATCGGGTAAAATCTAGGATAAAAAATTTATTACGTGTTTGACTGGTAATCGGGTAAAATCTAGGATAAAAAATCTATTATTTGTTTGACGGGTAATTGAGGGAAATTTTTAGGGCACGTATGCTCTCCAAAAAAATCCAGTGACCTCTTAATAAACCACAAGAAAAAAAGTTTAGCAGCAAAATGCAGTGACCTCTTACTAAAAAAATCTAATAAACTACAAGAAAAATCTTCAATTAACCGCTAAAACACGGTAACCCTATTTTCCGCTTTCAATTAAAAAAAAAAAAATCTAATAAACCACAAGAAAAATCTTTAACTATGCGCTAAAATACGGTAACCCTATTTTCCTATTTTATGCAATAAATAGCTCCTAAAAAATTAGCAGCTACCGAGCTGTAACACTATCTTTTACAATTAATACCTCTTTTACTTCAAAAATCACATAACATCCCTATCTTCTTCAACTGGCAGCTGAAACCCGAAAAATTACACCACAGCCTATTTTTTTCCTTTTCCTAAAAAATCACATAGCATTCCCATTTTATTCAACTCGCAGCTAAAACCCGAAAAATTACACCACAACTTATTTTTTTCAACTTGAAGCTAAAATTTATCGATAGCTTTTTTACCTCAAAAATCACGTAACATCCCTATCTTCTTCAATTCGCAGTTAAAATTCAAAAAAATCACACCACAACATCATCTTCTTCAACTAGGAGAGCTAAAACCCCAAAAATCACACCACAGCCTCATCTTCTTCAACTAGCAGAGCTAAAACCCAATACTAGCCAAGCGAAAGCTCAAAAAATCACACTACAACCTCATCTTCTTCAACTAGTAGCTAAAATTTTTGCAGCTCCTGCCACATCTTTTGCAATCACAGTTGTAGCTATTGTTTATTTCAGATTTATTTTTTGGGTTCTGCAAGACAGTTGTAGCTATTTTTCAAAAAAAAAAAATGATTTGGGTT